AAACCCTAAACTCCCAGACCCCTAAACCTTAAACCCTAAATCCCAAGACCCCTAGACCCTGGACCCCTAAACCCTGAACCCTAAACCCTAAACCCCAGACCCCTACACCTTAAACCCTAAACTCCCAGACCCCTAAACCTTAAACCCTAAATCCCAAGACCCCTAGACCCTGGACCCCTAAACCCTGAACCCTAAACCCTAAACCCCAGACCCCTACACCTTAAACCCTAAACTCCCAGACCCACAATCCCCAAACCCTAAACCCCCAGACTCCTAAACCCCTAGACCTAGACCCTAAACCCTAAACCCTAAACCCCTAGACCCCTAAATCTCAAGACCCCTAAATCCCAAGACCCCTAAACCCCTAAACCCCTAAACCCCGAGACCCCTAAAACCCAAACCCCAAAGTGCCAGACCCCTAATCCCTAAACCCTAAACCCTAAACCCTAGACTCCTACACGCTGGACCCTAAACCCTAAACCCTGGACCCCTAGACTCACCCTAGACCCCTAAAGCCCCAAACCCTAAACTCCTAGACCCTAAACCCTAGACCTCTAAACCCCCCTAAACCCTCGACCTCCGAAGACCCCCTTTAAACCCTGAACCCTACACCCCAAGACCCCTAAAAGCTAAACCCCTGGACTCCTTCCCATGGCAAAGTCCGCCTAAGGATTGAAATCGCTCCTGGCCCGCTGTGTCCCAGATCTGCAGAGCCGGGTGACTTTTGGGCTTCGAAGCTTTCTGGGCTTAGAGAGGTTTAGGGTTTTAGGGCTTGAGGTTTAGGGTTTAGGGCTGAAGGTTTAGGGTTTAGGGTTTTAGGGCTTAAGGTTTAGGGTTTAGGGTTTAGGGTTCAGGGCTTAAGGTTTAGGGCGTAGGGCTTAGGGTTTAGGGTTCAGGGCTTAAGGTTTAGGGTTTAGGGTTAAGGGCTTTAGGTTTAGGGTTCAGGGCTTAAGGTTTAGGGTTTAGGGTTAGGGGCTTAAGGTTTAGGGTTCAGGGCTTAAGGTTTAGGGTTTAGGGTTGAGGGTTCAGGGCTTAAGGTTTGGGATTTAGGGCTTAGGGTTTAGGGTTTAGGGCTTAGGGTTTAGGGCTTAGGGCTTAGGGTTTAGGGTTCACGGGTTAAGGGCTTGGGGTTAAAATTTAGAGTGTATGTACTTGGGGGATTTCGGGAATAGTGCTTTGGGGGCTTAGGGTTTCGGGTTGACTGTTTGTGTGGGATTTAAGATTTTACTGAAATCGAAGGACTCAGCAAGCAATCAAGTCTTACAGAATCTTATGCTCATGCCGACACTGCCACTTCAGATGCCAAAACCCGACAACCCGATGCCAAGAAAACGCAAGTTATTTTTCTGCATGAGGGCACGAAAGTGTCCCAACAACACCTCAGTGGGGATGTCACTCAGCACGTTCCTTCGACCGGTGGAAGCAAAATGCTTTCAACATAGCATCAGTGGCTGAAAGTGGGTGGTTCTCAAAATTATGGTCCCTTTTTGGGGTCCTTATTATAATACGGCACCTGTTATTTAGGGTACCCCAAAAGGGACCATCATTTTGACAACTACCCAAGTCTCGAGATTGCGTTTTGAGTATGCTTAGAAGGTTGGGATTTGCACCTCCCGGTCCAAGCTGCTGTGCAATCCTGTAGCTTCCGACGTCTGCGACAGTACGTTCCCACGATCTCCTCTCCTCGGCCTAGGCAACATGGCGCGAAATTCACCACGGCCGCAAAGACTATGGGAGACCAAGAGCATGGCAAAATGAAATGACAGCTTTGAAGCCATCTGCACTCCAGGCCACAAATGCTTCAATCCCACCCAATGTTGTTTCGAATCTGCTTGGAATGAACAACCAGCGCACGCGCCTTGCCGCTGAGAGCTCTCGCATGGGTAGATCTCTAAATCAGGGTCCCGGTTTGGATCCCCAAAATAGTAAGGCACCCTGATACAAGGGACCCCAAAAGGGACCCTAACTTTAGAGAACTACCCACAAAGAACCCTAAAAGCCCTATAGAAACCCTATAAGAACCCTTATAGATCCGTTTCATGGGACCCTAACTTTAGAGAACTACCCGTGTAGAACCCTTGTAGAAGCCCCACAGAAACCCTTATAGATCCCTTTAAAGAGACCCCTAAACCCCCCAAGTTTAGTTCTCCCTAAACCCTAAACCCTAAACCCTAAACCCTAAACCCTAAACCCTAAACCTACCCATGTATTGACACCGAAAACTCTTGACGGCAGAGTCTGGGAAAGACAGGCTCCGCGGCTAGGGGGGGGGGGG